CGAAGTCAGACCGGATCAACGCAACTTTATTTTAGGTGTACTTAAGATAAAAAGATTTGTAAAAATGAAATACAGATTTATCTGTCCACTGATTTTATCCAGGTAGCCATCCAGTATAACATACATAATAATGACAGTCAGAATTGTCTTTGTTTAACAAATCCATTGATATTATGATGCCTGTGTAGGGAATGAAGAATTTTGTGGAGGATAAAGAGATTTTGTGAGTAAGACTTTAAATTAGCTATTTATTACAATTCTGTCTTGTCCTTCTTCTATGAAGCTTAGGTCAGTTTACATATCTTCCTCTTCTCCACCTCACATTCATCCATAATAGTATTTCCCATACTCTGGACTTCCAGGTATTTTGGACTTCAACTTCTCGAATCCCAATCTTTGCCCAAGGCAGCTGAGTCAATGTGCAAAATACCTGGAGGACTAGAGATAGATCACTGATCTATCCTGTGAGGCAGGCCAGGCTGAGTGACAATGGCAAAGTCTATGAGTTGTTGAAGACTTTCATGGTTGGAGTCACTGGGTTGTTGTGTGTTTTCTGGGCTGTAAGTCCATGTTCCAGAAGCATTCTCTCCTGACATTTTGCCTGCACCTATGGCAGGCATCCTCAGAGGTTGTGAGGTCTGAGCTTCATTTCTTATTGGGCATTTGTGTTTGTGTGTCCTTCATAGGCCCCATCTACATAGACAGTATAATGCAGCTTCAAAAGGACTTGAAACCATGGCAGCCACAAAATGCATGGCGGTAATGCATGCTGTGGAGAACATTACAAGAAATAAAATGTATTTTGAAAAGTTGCAAAAAAATCCAAATCCAGCTTTAAAGTGTGCTACAGCAGACCCAAATGTATCCTAGCTCCACTAGCTTTGCAAAATGTGGGATGCATTGTAGATACCCACCCCTGCTGAAGAGCAATAAAGAATTCAGAATGGAAAGGACGGCTGAAAATCACCCCAAGAGCATCAAGGGGATAATTGGCCCTCTGAGAAGGGTAATTGATAACCTTCATTCTCAAATGTCACTTTCCCTTTTTAAAAAAGCCAAATGCCTCTGGTTTGCTGATAGTAGTTCTATGTTCACTGCAATCATCATCCTGGCCTCAAACCAGTTCCAGGCATGGCAATCTAATCACCCACACAGTGAAACTGGTTCCTCCCAAACCTGTTCCAAGCTGTAATATAGTCAGTGTAGATTTGCCCATGGTCTGACATACTAATGACTGCATCACTACACTGGTACTCAAAGTTTCTCTCTAGAAGCTTATGAAATCCCCAGATTAATTCCCCATTGTGTCGACAAAGGGAAACAGCTATAAAGACTAAGAAAACAAATCTATTTCACCATCCTAGCTTGAAGCACAAGGTCATGATTGAAATGTATTTTCATGGGTGGTGTTGTACATCAGCTCTTTGGTTGCTAAACGTTCCTGACTAGAGGTTTTGGATTTTATTCCATCTCTGTGTTTTTATATAAATATTCCTTCAGGATGCATTTGAGGAACAGCCACAGATGTTCATAGCAAAGACCAAGGACAGATTAGATTAAGGGAGAACTAACATTCATGAGGGGAAATTCCTGCCAAACTTCTAAAGCCTTTGGCTATTGTTATTTGGAGTTTGTTATTGGAGTATGATTTATTTTAAAATACCAGCAACAGTTGCTCAGCTGGCAAACTACTGAGGCTCACTATTAATTGCCCCTCTTATATTTAGACTGGATTCTAAATATCCAAAGTCCACAATCTACACTAATACCCACAGACCTCACAGCAATCATATGCTATCTTTAAACAGTAACACCCTGTTTTCTAAGGACTTGGTTGTCACCACTCAGATGGGCTTTTGAGATGGGCTGATGAGGAAATGTGCTGTGTGTGTGTGTGTGTGTGTGTGTAATGAAGTGAGAATTCTTAAGGGAGAAAGAGATGGTGCATGCATGTACAAGTGCAAGGGAATGTGACTACAAAAATGCTCAGATTGTGCTTTAGGGTAGGACAAGATCTGAGGCTAGTATGCTGAAATCTACTGGCAGTCATTTGGTTGATTTGCAGATTAGATTGACAAGTTGGTTCTCAATTATTTAACATAGTCAAAAGGAAAACAGAGTTGATTTTATGCACTAATAGATATGAGGTCAGTTCTCCTTTGGTATTCCCATGGTAGGTCACTTTGGCACTCCATATTTTTGTCTTACAACTCCCAAGCATACCCCATGGTGAAGTGTTATGGGGAACCGCAGTCCAAAAAATGCAAGGAGAGCCACCGTTGCTTATACCTGGGGCACTCAAAATAAATTTCTGGGTCCAGCACTTATTTATTTACATATTTATATTTATCCAACCTTTCCAGTTTTAAAAGGGAGTGCTCATGGTATTTCACAAAAAGTCGGTTTTAACTGCATCTCTTTTATTCCAGATCCTAGTTGATGAATCTCAGGATATTAATCAAACACAAAGTGGAACTTGCAAACAAATGTTATTCTGGGTTGCTGTGAGATTTCCGGGCCTCAAACAGACAAGAGTTCTTTCTCCCACCCTGGACATTCCACAGATATATAAACCCCACTTGCCTAGTTTCCAACAAACCAAACAACATCTGAGGATGCCTGCCATAGATGTGGGTGGAACGCCATACAGCTACCCAGTGATTCCGGCCATGAAAGCGTTCGACAACACGGGTGTTATTCTGTATGTATATTTTTAACGCATTTCAATAACAATTTCTAGGTAACACAACTGGTATGGTGGACGCAAGTTATGCCTTTTGCATCAGGTTCTAATTCCTATATCTGAGAGTTCTAGTAAAAACACAAGGAATTGTGAATGATCATTTGTCTGTTCATTTCCTAGGAAATTTCCTAGGAAAGAAACACTCGGAGGTGATTTTGCCAGTTCCTCCCTCTGCAAAAGTAAACATATGCTTTTTAATTAGCCAGAATACATGAAGCAAACATAGGAAAATACTAGCATATTAATGTGCTTTAGAATGAGCAAACTCACATATTAGAAATCATTTCTAAAGTCACAAGTAGCAGATTAATAACATAATTTTGCTGTTCTTTACCTCACGACATTAAGGTGAGATCTGTGTTGAAGATCTACTATTGAATATCTGTTTAGGAATGCAATGTTAGAATTCTTCAGCAAATGCAGTAAAAAAATAACCCAGATAATTAGTGTGGGATATCTTTGCAACCAGAAAAACTTAAAAATAGTGAGTGATTGCATGAACAAGGCAGACATTGCACATTTTAACTCAAGTCCATACTGATCTTCATATTTGAATAACCTGTTTTTGATTTGGCAGTCTTGCCTAATTCCTGGTCAAGAATAACAATCAATTCATTGGAGAAGTAAAAGCAGAATACATTGCAAGTCAGCACATCATTAACTGGCAAAAATCTAGGAAATATTGAAAATCCAGGTTTATCTCTCAGGAGCTATGGCAAAACAGTGAGGGAAAAAAGAAGAAAAACTTCCATGCTTCTTATCATTCTTCTAGTACAACATTATAGTTATTCATCCTTCTTTAATTCCATTTAATTTAAAATAGCACCCCACTTTCCATCCATCCCTCCCAAACAGGGGGTTCATTTTCTTTCTTTTGAAAAGCAAACCTGAACAGTAACAAGCCAGGACCACTTGTGTAGTTCTAGGGTGCACTGGGACTGAAAACTATTGTGTTCCTGTCCAATAGCAACATCCCCCCAGGCACCAATGTAATTGAATCCTCCCAGACAGAGCAGATCTTCAGCAGTCCCACACAAGAAGATGCATATTGATTTGTTCTCAGCAGGAGGAAAAGGATTTACACCCTCACTCTTATTTTTCTGGATTCAACCAGCCTTACGCAGATGAGAAAGGGAACCAGCACATATCCAGAGAAATGTTTGGAGAGTAAGAAGCATGACTTTTGCTCTGATCAGATGCTGCATAAGGATGAAATCTCAGAACTTTGGGAAGGAAAGGGCAGTAGGGAGCTTTCATTTTTTTTTTTTACATAGAGGTTGAAAGATCATTTGTCAGAATGGCATGGTGGGGCACTGGATGGCCCTTGTAGTTTCTTCCAGCTCTATGATTCTACATTCCTTTACATACTCAGTTCAATCAACAGTCTGTTTCTCTTAGTTGTCATTCATATCCATGGCTACATATGACAAGAGCATAAGGAGGGTCACAGCAACTCAGAGATACAAAGTGTGTGTCTCTCTGGCACTACACAATTAGTGCCTGGTTTCAATGAACTCCAATAAGCTGGAGACAATTCTTCCTATCAGGACACAACAGAATGTTTGAAGGCCAGAGAAGTAAGGTTCAGTCTGTTTTGGATGGAGTCACACTCCCTCTGGAACAAGTATACCTGCTCTGAAGGAAGGTGACCATAGAGTTACAGTGGGGGAATCTAGAGATTTCCAGAGAGAAGTTCTCTTTGGCAAAAAATAACAAAAATACTGGTTTTATTATTTGTGATTTTTCCACTTTTATGATGATCCTCTATGTCTAATCCCAGGGAATGTGGAAGTCTGATGGTACCAAAAAAAAAAAAAACCAACAACAAACAACAAACTGAAAACAAACAAACAACAACAACAACAACAACAACAACAACAACAAACAACCGTGCTTGTTCTTTGGGATCAACACATGCCAAGATATTTGCTTAAAGTGTTTCTGGTCTACCAAGATAATCCTTCTAAGAGAATGGCGCATGATACCAGCTACAACACTGTGAATGATGGAGCAGATCAGGAACACAGAGACAAGTTGGCAAAACTGCATATTGGAATTCACAGCTTGCTTCATTTCTCCTTTCTGAATCTCTTTTTCTTTCCAATGATTTGCACTGCCAAAAGGCTCTCTGCTATCAACTGGCTTTATAATAAAGTCTTTCAATAATGCTTTAATCTACTATAAAATAGTGTGGCCAACGTGCTTGTTCACTTGGTGCTCAACCTGTGTTTAGCCGTACATGTCTTTGCTCTCTTACCTCTCACAAATACATAGGTGCTGACTGCAGTAGTGTCCTCAATTTTGGCATTGATGTACTTGTAGTAACAGCGGTAGTAGCCTGTGTCATTAGCCTGAGTCCCCATCACTGTCAACACCTTGCAGTAAGGCTTGGTTTCAGTACCCTCACAATCTTCTTCCTTGACTGTTCGAATACCATCAAGACTCACTAACACCACAGAATCACTTTCCTTTCCAATCTGAATGGAGTCTTCTCGGCCCCCAGGCCACGACCACTCCAAGGGATGCTGCCCTCTGTGCAGAAACAAAAGGAACACCAGAAAGAGAATTAGCAACATTGTTAAATGACTTCCTGTGCTGTATCTTATTTTCTAACCTGCCCTCCCTCTTCCACTTTTTAATGTCAACAACAAAGAGAAGTCAAGTAACCTCCTCTAATAAACGAAGTGGGTGTTGAGTTCCCATCTTAGCTAGGCAGAAAAGCTGAGCAGAGAACGAGATAGGCAGACTTATAATTCTGCCTGCAAATGACTCTTGATTGGCCTCTCAAAATGAATATTGTGAGGAGAACCACCGGGATACAAAGTATTCAGAAGTAAGGAGGAGTTTTAGCAGAAATAAACATGTGCTTGAGGAAGATGCAAGAGTCTGACAAAATAAAAACCACCCTGCAGTCAAGAATTAGAACCAATATGATGTCCTGAAATGCATGAAACAGGTCTACATAAAACACAGCCGCATTACCAACTTATTCAAATTATACAATGTAAATTATATTCATTAACTGATACAACTTCCACAAAGAACTCTTGGGAGTTGTAATTTGGTGAATCCTAATGGAATTTGGAAAGCTGCCTTCCACTGTGTCAGAAATCTGACCACCTACTCAGTATATTCTGTTCTGACTGGCAGGAGCACTCTAGGATCTCAGCTAGATGTCTTTCTCATCACCTGCTAGATCAGTTATTTTGCCCAAAGTATGCCAGAGACCAGCATCATATTTGTGCCCATTGGCTAACATAGTTTCTTTCCTGGAAACTCACGAGAGATCAGCAGCCAGTGATTCAGGGACTTCCACCAGTCCATGGACCACCACTTTGAGTAGCACTGTGCTAGCGGATCTCTTTAGCTAGATTTTTGTGAACTGCATTGGGTCCCACTCTGACAGAAAGGTGACATACAAATGAAATTAATTAAATAAATAAATACATAAATTCTCCAATAATTGCAACTGGGATCTTCTATTTGTAACCCACACATTGAGAATCAGTGTTGGGACAGAGAAAGCTGCTCTCACATAACCAGAGTGCTCATGGTAACATGATACATAGGAATTACTATGATGCCACTTCACATCTTTAAGTCAACGTAGCCACAGAGATTATTGTATAGATGTGGAGACCAAGTGACTAGGGATTGTGGCATATGGTACACATTTCTCCATCAAAAGCAAAATGATGGCTACTAAACCAAGGAAGTCATAGTTTAACAAATATATTCACCAGTTTGTCCTCTTGAGAATTAAAAAAAATAATTCTGACTAGTTTCTTTTCTACCAATTCTTTTTCTGAGATACAAAAGAATGTTAAAACAGTGTGTCCTTTATCTGACTTCCGGGAATCTCTGAAGATCAGTGCAAGATCTCCCTTCCCCATTTTTGTGGGCTTCTCTACCAATGGCAGAAGATTACTGGTGGCTCATGATCTGTGGGTGGAATGTTGTCTTGCCACTGAAAAGATGTGGTACCCTCCCCGACCTATTTGGATCTTGGGACATTGGTGTGGAATATGACTGTCATTCAACCATGGAGAAGCTTGCAAAATTGGCAAGGTTCTGCATGGTTCAGCACTTAAGAACCAAACATAGTTCTCCCAGATGAGAGCTAGGGAAAGTGGTAGGGTTTTTACTTGCAGCTGTGCTCAGTCTGAGAGATGGTCCTAGAACCATGGTCATGAGGGGCATCTTGTCTTCAAGTTAAACTGAATGATATGTGGAGTGGAACAAATGGAAGGGCTGTAACAAAATAGAATGGAGGACATATGCTCATCATTTCAGTTTCTGGACTGGAATTAGTGAAAAATGGATTGTTTAGTTCTTCCTCCTACTTGTCTTGAAGCATTAGAGAAAGAAAAGCCTACCACCTACACCTGAGAAGGGAGAAAAATAGTTTTTTTCTTAAGAGCAGGTAAGGCTTTCATGCATGGCTGATGCTGTCAGTAAGGGTGTCAGTAATTTTCATCAGAGCTATCCAAGGTGAAGGCACACAATCAATATAGTTTGCTCTTATTTCACATAGGGCTGATTTTGTAGCTGTTCACAGAATGAGAAGCTAAACTGTGGTAGAGGCAGGAATTTTGGGGCCTAATCTTGTAAAAGAATATGAATCCTGTTTGTTAGTATATTCTTTCAAGTAATCTCTGATCTATGGCAACCCAAGGATTTTTTTCAGGAAGATTTGTCCCTCCCTTTCTGTGAGGATAAGAACATACAACCTGTCCAAGGTCACCCAGTGGATTTCCTGGTTGAGTGGAATTTGAACCCTGGCCTCTCAGCATCCTAGTCCAGCATCAGACCACTGCAGCATGTTCAATAATTGCAAGGTCGCAATAAAACTAACATTTCCTTCTTGCTGCTTTCAACCTAGGATGAAGTGTGCACATCTCCCTTGAAGAATCAAAGATGAGCTGGATCAAAACAGCAGTAAGGGGTGAATCCCTCTTTGGGAAAATTCTTTTGTATGAACATCCCTGTCTCTTTGCTTTGGCAAATGGAGCTTTCAACATAACAAGCCAGACTAGAAATAAGGCATTTTCCTGCTCCCTGGGAGTCTGTTATATAAATAAATGTTTGATGTGATTTGAACAAAAATGTTAATGTCAATGTTAACACAACTGCTTTCTCTTTCTGGAAAAGGGTATCAAACAAAGAGCTGTGTCCAACCTCATAACATCAAGGGTATATAGGCATTAAGGTATGTAGGCATGTAGGATGGAGATGTATCATCAACTATGCTATATTTTTCCTAATGTATGTGGGAAAAGGTCTGATGACACCCATTCTTACTAGAAGGACCCAGTATGGAGAATATGCAGCCACAGGACCATGTTGCAAAGTCTATGCAGCTATGTCAGTGGACATTGATTTTGATTTCTTGGCAGTCAATCACATTGCAGATCTATACATTTTTTGTCTTTTCCAGGTAAAATGGAAGAAAACGTAATTAAGGATACCACATTCAAATCAAATCAAAAATATTTATTACAGCCATAGATCAGCATATGGAGAGTGAGGTATAGTCTCATCAAATCATTGAATCATTGTACATTAAAATCTAAAAGGCTAGAAAACAAATGTATGTTGAAGGCTAAAGCACAAAAATTACTTAGAGAAGGGGAGGGACTAGAAGAGGGAGGAAAATTGATGGAGGGGTAGGTATTTATTTATATTTATTTATTTATCGTGTCATCAGCAACCATTGTATTACAATTCTAACAGAGCAAAACAAACACAGAGATTAAAAAGAAAAAGAAAAAAAAGAAAGGAAAAAAAAAACCCACACAGATTTTGCAAATTTGGTATTTGGTTAAATGTCCTTTGACCAGTATCTGGCCACTTGGAGTGCCTCTGGGGTTGCCGCAAGAAGGTCCTCCATCGTGCATGTGGCAGGGCTCAGGGTGCATTGCAGCAGGTGGTCAGTGGTTTGCTCTTCTCCGCACTCGCATGCCGAGGATTCCACCCTGTAGCCCCATTTCTTAAGATTGGCTCTGCATCTCGTGGTGCCAGAGCGCAGTCTGTTCAGCGCCTTCCAAGTCGCCCAGTCTTCTGAGTGCCCAGGGGGGAGTCTCTCATCTGGTATCACCCATGAATTGAGGTGCTGGGTTTGGGCCTGCCACTTTTGGACTCTCGCTTGCTGGGGTGTTCCAGCGAGTGTCTCTGTAGATCTAAGAAAACTATGTCTTGATTTAAGTCGTTGAGGTGCTGGCTGATACCCAAACAGGGGATGAGCTGGAGATGTCTCTGCCTTGGTCCTTTCACTATTGGCTGCTACTTCCCGGCGGATGTCAGGTGGTGCAATACCGGCTAAGCAGTGTAATTTCTCCAGTGGTGTGGGTCGCAGACACCCTGTGATAATGCGGCATGTCTCATTAAGAGCCACATCTACTGTTTTAGTGTGGTGAGATGTGTTCCACACTGGGCATGCATACTCAGCAGCAGAGTAGCATAGCGCAAGGGCAGATGTCTTCACTGTGTCTGGTTGTGATCCCCAGGTTGTGCCAGTCAGCTTTCGTATGATGTTGTTTCTAGTGAGAGGAGGGGTAGGTGCATTCAGGACACAATTTGAGGAGACTGAGGTGGGAAGAACTGATTTACATTTCAGTTAGCTGATAGTTAGTTTGTTAAGTTTTGGAACTAGTCATTATCTGGCGGATTATAAGTGCTGCTGCACAAAACTTGGCAATATTATATAAGGGTTCCAGCCCAGCTTACCTGTCTGAACGTTTCTCCCCCTATGAACCATCTCAGAGATTAAGATTGTCTGGAGAGGCCCTGCTCTCATTCCTGCCTCCTTCACAGGTGCAATTGGTGGGAACGAGAGACAGGGCCTTCTCAGTGGTGGCCCCTCGGCTGTGGAACTCGCTCCCCAGCGATATTAGATGAGCCCCTTCTCCCCTGGCTTTCAGAAAGAGGGTGAACATGTGGCTTTGGGGTCAAGTCTTTGGCAAATAATATAGTGCAATAGATGGACTTGGATTTATGTGTAATGATTACCGGAATGACCTGACCATGATTGTGGATAATGTGGTTTTATAATTGTAATTGCAATGTTTTATATGCTTTAATGCTCTTAATCACATTTAATTTTTAATTGAAATGCTTATTTACAGTAGTTGTATAGTAGATGTATATTGTTTTTAAGGCATTGAATCATTGCCTATGCTGTAAGCTGCCTTGAGTCCCCCTCAGGGTTGAGAAAGGCAGGATATAAATATAGTAAATAAAATAAATAAATTATAACTGGGTTGGTATCTGAGAGCATCAGGGTGGTGTAAAATTGTCCTGAACAGCCTGGATAATCATATAGCAAAGGCAGAAAAGTCTGGATCGAATGTCCCTGTAGACCAGGCACTGGAGGAGCACATACTCAGTTGTTTCTATTTGACCTGAGTCACGGGGGCAGAGCCTCTCTGGGTAGGGGGTCTTCTGGTATCGGTCCTCAAGTACAGCTGATGAAAGGGATATTGCATTGTTTTATTTGCTATATCACAGTCTGTCCTGCGAAGCCCTTTTCATTCCAAGTATGTTTTGCTTTGTGACATTGGGAAAGTTGCTGTCCAAGAAACACAAGCTGAAAGCCCCTTTGGCAAGCAGAACTAGTTTTAATGTGCTTCAAATTTCAGTTATATTTGTTCTATGTCCCTCTTCTAGCTTTTATTGTTTTTTCCCCTTGAATTTGTGAAAATGGGTGAAAATAATAATTCTGCACATAAAGAGTATTAGACACTATGCCATAACGTTTCTGAAAGTATATTAGAGGCTATTGTTGAAATTTTAGTATCAGCAACACCTGAGTGTTTATAATCAGAAATTGGAGAATGTATATTTATAACAGCTGATCTAACAGCTGTAGCTTTTGATTGCTAAGAACATGGCAAGTCACTGCTCAACACAGGCAGAAATCCTAAATGGTTCAACATTGCGTAAGACTCTACATCAGTGGTTCTCAACCTGTGCATTCCCAGAGGTTTTTGGCCTACAACTCCCAGAAATCCCAGCCAGTTTACCAGCCATTCAGATTTCTGGGAGTTGAAGGCCAAAACACCTGGGACCCACAGGTTAAGAACCACTGATCTACATCAAACTGCTGGAAGAGGCTATCTTGAGTTTTGTGTCATCGATATGTTGTTGAAACATAACCCTTTTTCTCCTTTCTGTTGAATTCCAAAGATGTGGTTTCTATACTATACCAGTGTCTCCTGTCAGTAATGGATTGGATTAGGGTGAACCAATTGAAACCTAACTCAAACAAGAAAGAGGTCCTCCTGGTCAGATGGAAGGCAGATAAGGGAATAGGGACTCTGTCTGTGCTGGATGGGGTTTCACTCCTCTTAAAATCTCAGGATTGCACCTTGGGTGTACTCCTGAACTCATTTTTGAGTCCATATGAACAGGTTTCAGCTGTGGCCAGGAGTGAATCTGCACCATTAAAAGTAGTGTGTCAACTATGCCCATTTCTTGAGAACTCAGACCTGGCAATGGTAGTAATGGACTACTGTCTCACACTCTACATGGGGCTGCCTTTGAAAACTGTTTAGAAACTGCAGTAGGTTCAAAATACTCCGACCAGACTTTTGACGTGGCCTGGCTACAGGGACCATGTGATTCCCCAGTTGAAACAGCTCCACTGCTCCATTTCCAGGTAGAGTTCAAAGTGCTGTTTTTAATTTTTAGAGCCCTCAACAGCTTGGATCCAGACTATCTGAAAGACAATAATTCCTAATATAAGAGAAGGCTGAGAGGAGACATGATAGCCATGTATAAATATGTGAGAGGAAGTCACAGGGAGGAGGGAGCAAGCTTGTTTTCTGCTTCCCTGGAGACTAGGACACTGAACAATGGCTTCAAACTACAAGAAAGGAGATTCCACGTGAACATTAGGAAGAACTTCCTGACTGTGAGAGCTGTTCAGCAGTGGAACTCTCTGCCCCGAAGTGTAGTGGAGGCTCCTTCTTTGGCTTCTTTGGCTTTTAAACAGAGGCTGGATAGTCATCTGTCAGGGGTGGAAGAAATTAGCCTCTGAAATAGTATACTAAAAAAAAGGCATCGGTAAGTATATAGTGGACCTGTGTATGTTGCTAATAGGATGCCATTTTGACCTCTTTAAATATTAAAACACTGCTTCAATCTATTGATTAATGTTCAGTGCAGAAGTGGATTAATATCCATGAATATCGTGCTGAAATAGTACTACCAAATATGTTCTTCTCACCACCCCATTTCCCTTTTTATGCTGTGACAGATTAACATAACATCTATTGGAAATGGCACTTGAGGTATTCATCATGAGCATACTTAAATGCAACATTCACAGTTGCCAAGAAGTCGAGTGGAGTTGGCTCCCACAGAGTATTTATAACTGAGAATCATTTCATCTAACAACTGGGAAGAACAAAGGGCGTTTTATAGTACCTGCAGGTAATATTCAGGGTATCCTTAGCGTTGATCACGTATTCCTCTTCTGTGATGCTAAGAGTTGGTGGGGTCATAGAATAACCACTCACTAGATGAGGAAGAAAGAAACAATTCTGTAAAAATCAGTATGTCCAGTCATGAACTCATTAACATTGTTTATTGCAGAAGTTCTATCAAGTATGAGTCATAACCCGGTTTGGTTTGAAAATTCAGGGTAGTTTATTTAAAACCAGGTAAAAAACCAATTAGTAAAACTTTCCGATTTTTGTTATGTCAACATGTAAAAGCAAGAGAAAGTTCTCACTGACAACTGTAAATGTTAAAATATATGCATTAAATGTATGGTGTGCAGGTGAAACGTATTATTCTACTCACAATGAAGCATATGGGTCTCTGATCCAGATAAGCCCACTGTGATGAGGCTCATATCTCCCCGCATTTAAGCATGGCCTCCCAAACTGAAAGGGGGTGGATCAGTGGGCTTTTAGTGGCCTTAGCTGACACCTTTTTTGTAACCTCTACATTGGAGAATATATTGAACGAAGAAGAAATGGCTAGGGGCAGGAGGATTTTTTTTCAAAACAAATAACTTTTAAAAAATCAGCTTTCAATTGCACCTAATTAAAGCAGTATGTGATTTAACAACGTTCCCCAAACTTCTGGTCCAATTTTAATTTGTATTAATTTTTTGGGTATATTTTAAAAACGGACTTGACAGTCTTTTACTAACATTCAAAAATGAGCAAGTCTCTTATAAGGCAAGAAATGCTATGCTCTTGGAACATAATGATAATGTCCACAATATGTGCACAACCACACATTCTGCAAGAGAGGAGTATAACTGTGGGTGACAGATGCTCACTGTTCATTGTTGCAAAAAAAAAATTTGCAATGGTCCAAGTCTTCTCCCCAATTCTAGCTCCAGCCACTGGAGATAATGGAACTTGAGCATTCACAGATTTTGCTATCCTTGAGGGGTGGAGTCCTGGAGCCAAACCCCTAAATACCAAGGGCCCACTAGATCTATTTTGGGCTTGGCTTGCGCTGTCCAAGGTGCTGGATTTGGAGTATATGATTTAGCACATTGCATAGTTACTTCAAAATTTGATCAAAACCCTACAGCAAATCCATTAACATGATATGAAAGGTACAAGGCGGCATTGTAGAATAACAGTGCTTGCTTCTCCAACCCAGACCTCTCCCTCCCTCTCCTCTTGCTGGCTTTAACTGTCAAAGAAGAGCAAGCATAATATGAGTATGTGCTTGTTTGTACTATTGCAGGCATCACATCAATTGAATCTCTTTATATAAAACCAGGCTTATTGTGATGTTGAGAATCATAGTATCATAGAGTAAGAAAAGATCTCATGGGCCATCCAGTCCAACCCCAACCAAGAAGCAGGAATATTGCATTCAAAGCACCCCTGACAGATGGCCATCCAGCCTCTGTTTAAAAGCTTCCAAAGAGGAAGCCTCCACCACACTCCAGGGCAGAGAGTTCCACTGCTGAACGGCTCTCACAGTCAGGAAGTTCTTCCTAATATTCAGATGGAATCTCAATTCTTGTAGTTTGAAGCCATTGTTCCACGTCCTAGTCTCCAGGGAAGCAGAAAACAAGCTTGCTCCCTCCTCCCTGTGACTTCCTCTCACATATTTATACATGGCTATCATATCTCCTCTCAGCCTTCTCTTCTTCAGGCTAAACATGCCCAGCTCCTTAAGCCGCTCCTCGTGGGGCTTGGTCTACAAACCCTTGATCATTTTAGTCGCCCTCCTCTGGACACATTCCAGCTTGTCAATATCTCTCTTCAATTGTGGTGCCCAGAATTGGACACAATATTCCAGGTGTGGTCTAACCAAGGCGGAATACAGGGGTAGTATTACTTTCCTAGATCTAGACACTATGCTCTTATTGATGCGGGCCAAAATCCCATTGGCTTTTTTTTGCTGCCACATCACATTGTTGGCTCATGTTTAACTTGTTGTCCACGAGGACTCTAAGATCTTTTTCACATGTACTGCTCTCGAGCCAGGCATCGTCTCCCATTCTGTATCTTTGCATTTCGTTTTTCCTGCCTAAGTGGAATATCTTGCATTTGCCCCTGTTGAACTTCATTTTGTTAGTTTTGGCCCATCTCTCTAATCTGTCAAGTTCGTTCTGAATCCTGCTCCTGTCCTCTGGAGTATTGGCTATCCCTCCCAACACCAAACCTGTGGGTCATGACAAGAAATCATTATTTTATTCTCAGAATACTTAGTGATGGCCATAAAGATTATTGGTTGAATTCAGACCTCCACTGCCCAAATCTTATGTCCTATACCACCCAGAATGTCTTGATGAATGAATATGATGATCCAATGGAGGCAACAAAGTAAGCTTTTTTCATTGCCCACACCATCACAAACTTGTGTACAATCAACTTTGCATGGAGCCTTTCCCAACTATTATCCAATCTGGTTACTTACTTAGAGCTCACTGGATAACCAGAAGTAATGTGGGTTCTTCGATATCAGAGAAGGCGCTGAGTCTATGTTAATGAACCACCATATATTCCCATTCCACTGGAAGACAGCAACCTTGGCAGAAGCACTTGCTCTGTACACCAGAAAGGTACCCAGAACATTGAGGAATTTGCTGGATTCCATTGGTCTCCTGCATGGACCATACTGAATGGGCCTTCCAAAACCTGAGCATCATTCATACTTTTGAAGCAAGGTCAGTTTTAACATTTCCTGGTCTATAAATTATATACTTTACCATCTCATATTCAGGAATATATTTATCATAGGGTTTCTATTTCACCTTGACATTTGCTAGAATTCTTTCTACCTTTAGCTTCCTTTTAAAAATACAATAAGACCCATGTTAGTTCAGAATCCATAGTTATGGTTTCATTTACCTGCCCCCAGAAAGAATTGACTCTCTGGGCATTTTTTAGTCCTCCAAGCAATTCTATCCTTTGTTTTCCCCAGAAGTGAACATATTGTTTCATCAGAGGACCTAGCAAATTGTCCTTCCAACACAAGTCTATGGTATGCCTTGACCAGAAGTGAGGCAAATTAATGGCATTGAGTAATATCTGTAGTTTCACAAACAACAGTCAAGCCAGGAATGAATTCCCCATGGGTATGGGCATCTTATGTATAGACAACATACTGTGCCTATTAAGATGAATGCTGAAAACAAAGATAACGAAGAGTACTGATTTTTATAGTTACATTCTCCTGTCATTTCCCCAAACTCGCACTGTTTTATAAGTGACAGAATGTCTTTCTACTTCTGTATTTTAGATATTCAGATATGAAGCATCTTTGTCCTGCTTGTTTTTTTTTTATGAGTGTGATTAAAGGAGTGTATGGCAAAGGAAGTAAGAAATGCCAAACAAGCAGAAGAGACTGTATTTGGGAAGCGGATTCCCCACAGACTCCTAAGAAACGTGCAGAATATTAATAGCCCAATCAGAATGACCTGCTTGAAACTTTGCTCTGTGTAGACATCCTTGCTCCTTTTAATTGTTTTACACTTCCTTCCTTCCAAGAAGTAATTCAGACTGACTTCATTTGACTAAGTATATCTATAGAAACTGGACTGGAATCAGCAGTCTCATACATATATCTCTGAGGAACATGCTGATCTCCAAACCATGCTTTTCCTGTAGTAGTGGCTGGAGTAATATTAGCAATAAAACCTGCTGTCACTATCATAACACCAATATGAAATGAAAGAATAAAGGTGGACTCTCCATGGATTGTTGTTAAGTTAAAGTCCTTGTCATCTTTGCTAATGGATTTTAGTTTTTTAAAATGTGAAATAGAGTTACCTGTAGATCAAAGAAGCAAACTTTATTACTGTACTTACATTGGAAAACAAAAAATCCTTAGGAATAAATTATTTGAGTAAAGCATGTTCAGATTGCCAAAATTCAGGTGAACAAATGATTATTAATATGGACCCACAAGGACCAAGTGGAAACTGTTGCACTCATATGACTCAATTCTCACTTAGAGCTTGGGAAAGTTACTTTTTTGAATTTTGAATCTCAGAATTCAAGATACTGTAGTACAAAAAACCAAAAACACAAGAACACAACCAAAAAAACAAATAAACAAAAGCTCCACTTTTCCAAGCTCTGACCAGAATGGACAGAAGTTGACCTAGAGCAAGGGTGTCAGCTCATTTGTATAAATGTAACTGGCACTGAAAGCCTCATGGACCACATAAAATGATGTGATGGGCTAGATTTAGCCCGTAGGGCTTATGTGAAACACATTTGGTCCAAAGGAATGCTGTAGAAAGCATAATGCTTTTATTTATATTGTTAAAGTTAAATACATCTCTACCTGACTAGGCAACCAACCATCTAGGAGGATGCAGTGCACTTCAATTCATAATAGATATTATTTTTTTTTAAAAAAGGATAGCAGCTGAATCCGTGGAGGGCTGCAGACACGTTATCCTTACAAGTTGTGTTTTACACAACTGTACAGCCCCAGTCACCATGCAGAACTTGAACAATTTAAGTTATAACCATAGATCCTCAATTTGTATTTAGTCAGATGACAGAAAAGAATTCCTTGGGAATAGGGACATTACTGCTGTCCCACACTATTACTGCTTTGCACAGCCACTGGCATCACATGATTGTGATGCCTCAGCTCTGCAAAACCTGACTTCCAAATGGATGGCATAACTCTGCCCTCCTCCTGTGGGTTTGCTCATCAATAATCCTTGATGGTTTCACTGCAGGGAAGTTGTGGATCCAAAATGGGTTTTGCCTGACATTGTGCAACAGGGACCGTCACCAAGGGTGAGTGTCCTGCTGCTGTGCTAGTTTGCCACCTCCGTGCAATAAAAGCCTAAGATAAGAACAAAAACAAGAAGTAGAATCAAGCAAACATGCATACAACATACATGCACACTTTTAGGTATGAATGTATTAGATGAAGATATTAAAAGTCAGTGAAAGTAATGACAGTTGAAAGCCACTGATTAGATGTCTATGCCTATGCCTACCTATCCAACTCCATCTTTATTTTTCATTCCCTTCCGGTTTTTGAAATCTGGCAGGTTTTAATTTTTACCATATT